CAAACTTGGAATAAAAGGAAGCTTCCTTGATTTGACAAAGAGAGCCTATTAAAAAACAACAACTCTACAGCTAACATAACACAGTGGTGAGAAACTATGTCTTTCCCTAGCTGCATAAACAAGGCAGGATCGCCTCTCCCAACATTCCTAATCAAAATCACAGTGCTAGCTGATTCAATAAGTTAAAAAAAAAAAGCGGTGGAGGAACTGGGCATAGATGGAGAGGTTGGGCAGAGTGGGGTCAGAAGCAAGAGGATTTCTTCCAAGTTCCGGCTAAAACTCTAAACAGGGGCTGCCCCAACTGTCAGTGCAGCTGCGGAGGCAAAACAGCAGCACTGACTCTCCGGAAGTCAGTAGTCAGTTTCTCACCGAGCCCAGCACAGCCTTACCACAGGTCTAGTTCAATTTGTGATCACACACCATGCTGCACCTAGAAGTGCACAGCTGCCAAAAACTGGAAGCAAAAGGTAACAGTCAGCGAACAGATAAACAACAAAACATTGCCAGATAGCGAGAGAGAAAGAGCTGCAAGATTGTGTGTGGTGGATGCACACGCGTGCGTGTGAGAATGTGTGCGTACATGAGGTGCATGTCTATGGCACACCAGTGCTATTGCACACATGTAGAGGCCAGAGGACAGCTTTTTGGAGTCGATTTTTTTTTTTCCTTTTCCCTGTATATGGTCTCTGGGGAAAGAACTCAGGTCGTTAGCCTTGTGCAGTGTGTTATTGCTCTGAGAGGAGAGGTTTCCCCGTGTGGGCTCTGAAGGGAAAGGTATCCCAGCCATTCGGATCACTTTAGAACTAGCCTGTCATGTTCCTCTAAACCCCCTATTGGGATGACAATTGCTATCGTAGAGAATTTAGAGGCTAATTATAGAGTCTTGGCGTTTTTATGACGTTCCTTCACCAGGGACACAGCATAGCTTGTCTTGTGTGTGTATTTTGTCACCCCCAACGAGTTCGTATGTTAGAATCCTAACCTTCCTGGCCAAGGAAAAGGCAGGAAGAGCCTTTTGTGGACGATTAAATTGAAAGGACAAAACACTCATGAATGGGTTAGCGTCCTTATAAAACAGACGCAGGGGTGCTCATGGTCACTTTCCACCATGTAAGAATACAGCACGAAGGTACTGTCTGTGGACAAGGACACAGGCTCACCAGATACTGGCTAGTCCTCGGCCGCCATCTTGGACATATGTCCTGTCATTGTGAAGAGCAAACTCCTGTTGTTCATAAACTATGCAGTATATCCTCTTTTGTCAAGACAATCCCAGTGAACTAAGACAAACACTAACAAAAGAATTTCAGAACATACCATTAAGCCAAATCTTCTGAAAAGATTTTATTATTACTGATTTTGTATTATTGACACAGAGTCCCTCTCACTATACAGTTGATAGAGATCTGGAACTTGCTTCATAGACCAGTCTGGCTTCAGACTCGAAGCACTGTTCTTGCTTCTGCCTTCTAAGTGCTTGGTTGAGGAGTGCACCATGGCGCCCAGCCCATTGGCCCAAATCTTGATGAACTCTTACTGGTTTGAACAGTTCTACTGTGGCTATCATCGGCGTGGCTTGTAATTGTTTCAGAACTACCTGTTTGTTAGTCATCTTCCTGTCACCAGGACAAAACATCTGAGATTATAGCCTGACACGTGGAAAGTTAGCTTTTGTTTACACTGCCAGAGGCCTCAGTCTGCACTCAGTGGGCCCTGCGGTCTTTGTTTTTAGAGCAGAGATATATCATAGCAGGGAGTGCATGCTAAGCCCAATTCGGACCTTGGTGTTTTCTACTGCACTTCAGCTATATGTAATGCATATTTTTTATTCTACTGAAGTAGGCACTGCTTGAGCTTTACAAAAAAATAAACGAAACAAGGAAAGAACCAGTTATGCCTCCTAGGAGCATGCATCTGGTGGAGGAGATAAGGGAAACACACACATGTTTCAAACAAAACACGGGGAGTCAAAACTGAACAAGATGTACAAACCACCCTGGAGGTTCAGAGGGGAAACAATAACAGCGGGGAAGGCTAGGGCAACGGACAACTGGGGAAGAATCAGAAAAAAAAAATATTCCGTGGAGAAGGTATCATTTGATGCTAGCATATATGCTGTCTAAGAGCACTGAGAATGCACTGTTTGAAAAGGGACCTTAAAGATTTACGAAGTCTGGGCATGGTGGATCCCAGCATTTATTGTGCCTGCACTTGGAGGGTCATTTGAATTCAGGAACTCTAGACCAGTTTTGGCAACATAATGAGATTCGGGCAACAAACACAAACAAACGGGGGTGCGGTGAGACATGCCTGCAATCTCAGTACTTCGGAGGCTGAGACGCAAGGATTTTGAGTTTAAGGCCAGCCTGGCCTACATGGGCCAGTCCTGAAAATAGTAGAAGACCTTGTCTCAGAAAACCCCCCAAATGCTGGGACTGGAGATGTAGCTCATTTGCTAGAGTGCTTGCCTGGGTTCAATCCACAGCACTGCACGAACCACTTGTGATGGTACATGCCTGTGGTTCCAGGACATACGAAGCAGAGGCAGGCGACCCAAGAGATCCAGGCCAGCCTGGTCTATATGAAACTTTTTCTCAAAAACAAACTAATCTGACTGGAGAGATGGTTCAGCAGTTGAGAGGGAATGTTGTTCATCCAGAAGATACTTGGTTCCCAGCAACTACATTGGGCAGCTCACAACCACCTGCAATCCCAGCTCCAGGGAATGACATCCTTTTCTGGCCGCCACAGTCCCCTGAATGCACACGGAACACACACACACACACACACACACACACACACACACACACACACACCCCTAATAAAATTAACAATCAAAGGAACAGTAGTCAGGCTATTGGGAGAATGTTGTTACTAATGGAGGAAGCCATATATGCAAAATATGAAGGTGGGAAGGAACGTAAGTGGCTCCGTTCAGGATGAATTGTAGATGGGGCAGATGCTAAAAGTAAAAACAACTGATTGGGTGCTAGTGCGGGTTTATACTGATGCTGTTATCTTAGACAGCAACTGAAGAAGCTTCCAGTGGTGATACTGGGACCACTGCTCCTTTTGCGTCTTCTCTTGCTTCTGTCAGCACGGCAACACTGCAAAACTTTAGACAACCAATGAAACCCCACTCTCCTCATTTACCTGGGGTGATGGGTGTGCGTATGTGTTTTTTGGGGGGAAGTGGTGGTGTTTCTCTCAAAAGTCAGGGCAGAAGGTTCCAGTTAACTCCACTCTGCACAAGCCCTCCGGAGCCAGCGTTGAGGAGAGGGCACTGAGATGGAAACAAAAGACAAGAGACTTAGGTGGTTTAATGACTAACTTCAGGGGAGTTATGATTTCAAGGTGACAAAGAGGAAGCCGGTAACAGAGACACAGATAGCAAATTCCAAGCAGTGTGCCAGGAGAATGAACCATAGCTATAGATTCTCAAGACACCCTAGGCGTAAAACTGGCACTGATCAGCAAAGAATGAACTCCAAACAAGTGGGGTGTTAGTTAGCTGGCCTAAGAATAGAAAGAATTGGTGTATGTGGGCAACATAGGTCAGTGATGCACTTGCTTAGCACGCACAAGAATGGGGTAAACCCCTAGTACCAAGCAAGTAAGTGTGTGTGTGTGTGTGTGTTGGGAGGGTGTCAGAAGAACTGTAACCCCCAGGATGGAGAGGGACCTGTAGAAGCCTATGTTCAGTGATCTTAAGGTTTCCTTCCACCAAGACTTTGATGTCATAGAGTAGGTACCACTGAGCAAGCTGGCCCCACTGCAGAATCACTAGAGCAAGCAAAGCTTGGTGGGGGGGTCTACTATGGCCAGCAAAGGCAGTAATCGGGTTCTTTCTAGTCTGCACAGTTCTGGGGTCCACCTGAGTTCTAGGACACCCCCATGGGCCTCCCTGGGCCCACAGGCCTAAGCGCGCTCTCATTTCCGCAGGGCCTTGTCCCGCAGGGCCCGCACACTGAGGCGGGACCTCGGTTCCTTTTCCTCCTCCCCGGCTCACGGTCTCAGAGAGCGAAGCACGCCATGCGGGTCCCGCAGCTCCCCGCTCGGCCTCGCGCCTGCCGCCCCCGCGGCACGGCCAGCAGCAGCCCCAGCGAGGAGGAAGAGGCGGAGGAGGAGGCGCCGCCCCCTTGGCG